ATTTATATTTTTTCATTAATGTAAAAGTCTAATTTTTACTAATAGTGACATATCTGTAACACATGATTTTATCTAATTATGGGTGTTAGTAATCGAGAAATATATCAATTATTTACTACTCAAATCGCCAATAACTCTCAGGGCCCCACGGTAGAGCCGTGGGGCCTTGATGATATCTCTGATTTCGCAGGAAATAACTATTACTGGTTAAACTTATAAAAATAACTATTGCTATATAGTTATTTTCATGCGTGATATATGATCACTAATTATATCATCTAATCTTTTAATTTATGACATTTATTACAAAACATTCTATAGCAATACATAATTGATATGTAATTTATATACTGTATCGATCAAACATTAAAAGGAAATGCATAATTCTACGCAATATTTATGTAACTGTTCTAATATTTATTGTATTATGAATCTATTATATAATTGCGAAACAAGAAATTACTTGAGAAGAAAACAAATGTAATAATATATAATTTCAGATAAATTTGTATATAATTTTTATATACTACTTAAATATTAAAAGGGAATATATAATTAGTATGTAATTTTTAAATAAATTTGTGTAAGATTTATGTAACTTTTTATTTATTGTATAATTGCGAAGCAAAAAAACTGCTCAAAAAAAAATTAAATATTATAAAATATTAGATAGTTATATGTAATTAATATGTATATAATTTCAAATCAATGTTTGTATATATAATTAAAATAATAAAATTCTAAAAGTAATCATTGTATTTCTTCAAATAAAGTGTTTTAAATTCAAGCCTTCAAGTCTAATACTAGATCTTTAAAAGTTATTAGTTTTTCAATCAAAATAGATATTCATAATCTAGTTATAGTTGAAAAAGAAAATACAATTGATGAACTAATTAGCGATAGTGACAAGAAAAATCTAAGCAGTGAATTGATTAGCAAAGATAGAAAAGAAAATGATATTAGTGAGACAATTAGTGAAAATGAAAACATAATTAGTGAAAATAATTAACAACAAATTAAAAAAAGCAGGCCATATCATCCAATTTGAAACTACTTTTCATAGAATGAAGATTGTATTTATATTGAATATAATCTATATGAATGACCATATAGTCTTAATACAGGTGTTAGTACAGTTAAAGAACACTTTATAAAATATCATAAAAGTGTATAGAATAAAATTGAACAAAGCATGTTTCCTGTTAAAGGAATTGAACCAATTAATACAATAAAAGAAAATAAAATTGCAATTATTAATACTTTGCTTATACGATAGATTGTTTGTAATCAGCAGCCATTTTTAATTGTTGAGGATAAAGATTTTATTATTCTTGTAGCAGCTTTTAATGCTTGGTATAAGTTGCCAAATTGACAAACAGTTTCTATTAAAGTACAATGGACTTATGAAAAACAATATAAAATAATTAAAGAATATTTTAATAATCATAAAAATAAAGTAGCACTTACTACAGATGTATGAACTGCTTGTACAAATCAAGCTTATATATCAATAACTCTTCACTGGATTGATAATAAATAGGAAATGCATCGAATTCTTTTAGATTTAATACCTCTTCATGAAAGGCACTCGGGTATTATGCTTGCTAATACTGTCTATACTATTATTAATAATTTTGGTCTTGGTGATAAAATTATAGCTGTGACTACAGACAATGCTTCAAATATGAATGTGTTTGAAAATAAACTTGAACAATTACTTTTAAATAATCATACCAATACATTATTTCATCATGCTAGATGTGCTGCGTATATTCTTAACTTGATAGCAAAAGATGGTCTTAATGAAGCAAGAATTTTAGTTAAAAAAGTTCAAGAATTTATGAAAGCTATAGACTCATTGCAAATTTTGTTTGAAGAGTTAAAAAAACTTTTTAATATAAAAAAATGATCTATTTTAGTACCTGAAACTGATACTAGTACTCGTTGGAACTCTACATATCTCATGATAAAAAAACTGCGCAAAATTCAAGATATTACAGATATTCTTGTTGTATCAAATCTACAACTAAAAGATATATATTCTAATAATAAAGATTGGGAGAAGCTTAATGTAAATAACAACAACAACAACAACAATAATAATAATAATAAATTATTTTAATATTTTAGGCTTTAATTGAATTGCTTGAACCTATCTATCATGCTACAAATCTTCTTTTATCTTCAAGTTACCCTATACTTGGAGATCTTTGTATAGTATTTTCTGTTATTATAAATACATTATGCGAAGTTTAAAATAAAAATAGTATACTACAACTAGTTATACAAAAAATGCAAACAAAATTAAACAAGTATTGGGATGAACTTAAAGCAACTTTTTATGAAGCAGCAATTCTTGATCCAAATAACAAGCTGATACTATTTGAAAACAAAGATATA